ATCACTAGTTAACTTTTTCTCAGATTGATTACACTGAATGGATCAAACCACCTTCAAAAAAATTTGAAAGATTAAAGTGATACTAAAGTAAAAATTGTCTATAACCCCTTAAACACCAATTTAAGAATCATATTTTTTAGGTATGAAAGCTGACTTCAAAGATATAACTTCTGAGAAAAAATCATCTATGCATGCAACAATGTATTTTATTTTAAAAATTGCAGTAATTTAAAGAAAAAAAAACATCTCATTTTTACAATATTTTAAATGTCAAATTTTTAAAACCGATTTGTATGTATTTCATTCACATCACAGTGTTAAAAATTGTTATTATCTTTGTATATTACTCTTGAATGTTAATTCTACAGAATGTTCTTTTAATTATGTGGCCTTGACGTCATGTTACATTGGAGCATTGCTTTTAATGTCATTTCAGAAAAAAAGATTTAAAAATAGAGTTGAAAAATCTCTAAAAATCAGGCGAAAATGACACCAATAAATTGGCCATAATATATGTTACACCACAGGGAACAGGGAAGCTATGGTTTTACTGCGTGTGCTGCATAATTGATATAACAAGCATTGGAAAAATGTTCATATTGGCTTGTTGATTTTAAAAAGAATGTAAAATCTGTATCAAGAGAGTTGAAAAATAAATCAAAATCAGACAAAAAAAGACACCAATATATTGGCCACAATATATTTTATATATCCACAGGGAGGCTACCGGTATGCTTTTACTACTTGCGCAGTGTAAAAGGAGTAATTTATAATTTAAACTTTGGAAAATTTCATATTGGTTTGTTGTATTAAAGCAAGCCTTTGTCTTCACATATCCCCTAATGCATTTTATAAACTATAGGTATACTGATTAAATTAATAATTTAATTTTTTATTTTTGTTGCTTTGTTCTTTTCTGGATGCACCGTTAGATTTTGTCTAACGTGTGCCACTGTAATCCAATAAATATTGTATTGTATTGATACATGTCTTAATATCTGTTCCTTCTTCATATGGCAGGGGGTCTCAAGTCTCCCAGAGCTGGCGGAAGTCCCCCGGAAATCGGGACGGCATCCCGCACTCCCGCAAGCAAGAATCTCCCGAAAATTAATCCATACTGGTATCCCAAAAATTCATAATATTTGCATGTTTTCACTGCTTTATCAATTGTCTCACGGAAGTCATTGCCAATGTGAACCACTATGTGCAGCAAAATACAATTAAATGTTCCGAAAGCTTATTAACCAGATCAGTGGCAGATTCAAAAGGGAAGACCTCAACGCAACATTTTCTCTTTATAAATTAAAGTACATGGAGAGAAAAAGAAAATCATATTTAAATTTAAGTCGGAGAGTGCCATTTCCGGCCATCTAGAGCTGCCAAATATATCGAAAGTTGTCCAGGGGGCAGAGCCTTTAAAGTCGGGCTCCGGAGGAAAAACAATTTTTGATATGTTGTAGAAAAAGGTGTAAAAATGGGCGGTTATGCCCCTTTTTTTCCCAGTTTTTAAATATTCAAAAATCTGTATCTCGTTCACCGTTCCCCAGTTTTTCGTCAAACAACTTTTTTCTGTCTTAGAAAAATCAGTTCTACAACATATCAAAAAATTTTTTTCCTCCGGAGTCTGACTTTAAAGGTTGACAATTTATCTACCAATGTGTAGAAAATATAGTACATATGATTTATTTCTCCCTGACAAATTGTGTTTTTTTATCCCAGAGAGGGTAATGGGGAAGCCCTCCTGCCAATCACACCCCCCTCCCCCCCCCTCCCCCCCTCCCCCCACTATATTTTAAATTAAATATTTATTGCTTCCATTATTATTATTTTAATTATATCATTAAACTTATAAAAAATTAATATATTGATTATGCAGATATAATTAACAAAGCACAATCACAAAGTAACAGATTTGATAATATATTTTAAGGGATTATGTCACATCCTGGTCAACTAATTGAACATAAAAATGTCACCAAAACCGGAAAAACCCAAGAGAAAATACACATAGTATAGAAGTGAGCAAAAGAAAAAAAAATCCAAATGAGAAATGTGTTTTTATGAAACACACTTGCTTTTATAAATAGGAGAAGGACAGAGGATATAGATTGCTGAGACTTGCTCATATATATGAAATTTCCTTTTGTAGTCAAAACAAGTTTTTCTATGTATGTGAAAATTGAAATTTTAATTTGCTAGTCTACCCTATTAACCCAAGTGTGAAGATCATATAAATTAGTCATTAATGAGGGTCTGTCAATGAAGGCCTATAAAATGCAGTCTGACTGCCGACGCAAACGACAGAAGATTCAGTTTGATAAAAAATGAAATTTCTGTTTTAGAACAAAATATATATAAATTTTCATCTTAATTCTTGGCATATGTTTGAAAAGCAGTGTTTTAAGATAGACAATTGCTATACTACGGCTGATTCGGTAGCTCGATTTCGAGTTTCTTGTTTCAAGCACAATTAGAAGACGGAGTCCTGCGGTACTATTGATAAAAAAGCAACACAGCTCAATAATATTGATAACTGTAGTTTTATTTGTTTTCGTACGCCATTCTTGTACAGTGGCTATTAATATCACATCCTCCAAGGACATAAAATCTATAGGAGTACTGTATACAATTTCCCTTCCAAACAAGGTAGATATGCACACTTTTTTTTTTCATTCCATGCTATAATGTTTATTAAGTCCGAGTAGAATAAAAGGCAACTTAGCCCACGAACTTCGAAATTTGATTTGTGTTTTTGAAAAAGTAAATCTTTGCGGAGCCACTTAGGGCTCATAGGGGTGAAGCTTATAACAAGTTTTTGTAGCGTAAAGAGGATGAGAGTGTAATACACCCCCTGGGTGGGACACTGTTCCATCAAAGGTTACTCCCAGCAATTTGCTGGTACCCATTGATACAGCTGGGTAAACTGAACAATGTAGATGAAGTGCCTTGCTGAAGGACACATGCGAAATGCCCAGCGAAAGATTAAAACCCCAACCTCAAGGTTGGAAAACCAAACCATTCCCATATACAAATATTATGACGCATTATGACCACTTCGCCAAACCACTTCTACCAGGCATTCTTATTCATCAGTGTTATACCATGCTCTAGATTGTTGAATGGCTGTGTTTTTAGCCTTATATATTTAGTCAAGCAATCTTGTCTTTGGACATACAGCAACAAAATTTATGCTGTTGTTCCTGTAAGACTGAATTTGATCGGCTGTCCCTTTAAACAGCAATAATTATCGTAAATTCTAAAATTCCATTCTTGTCGTTTTGCTTTCCTTCTTTTTGTGTGTCTGTTTCTTATAAATTTGTCTGTTTCTTTTTTTTTTTTTTTGTGATATTGACATTTTTTCTGTTACATAACAAATTTGTCTCGCAATTCATTCTGCAATGACCAAACTTTTGTGAACTTGTTCTGATCGTTTCTTTTTAAGTGTTTAATTTTTTACATTTGTATATTGGCTCCAATTTTAATATTCTTAGATAGTATATTTGTGGATTGTATATTTTGTGTATTTTGAATATTTTTGAATAAAAATAACCAGAAAATAATACTGTAGCTTAAGATGAAGGGAGATATCCCCTACCCCTATCCACATCAATAGCTGTCTCTTATACACATCTAGATGTGTATAAGAGACAGGAATGGATAGGGGTCGTTCAACATTATAAACATTTTCACAAGTATACAACAGTACGCTAGGTGGAGAGGGTAGACAAATTTGTACACTTTCACATGCATTAAAGTGTTGATCAAAATAATGTAATATGTAAAATAATAGTTTTTTATGACAAATTATAATGTAACTATGGATATACTAGACAATTTTTAAGCAACCAAGTACAGTGCTTCAGTTGACTTCACAAAAAAAACACTATTTTTTTGTACTCTTTCAGAGGGGAGGGAGGGGACACCGTAGCAGAGTACTGTGCACTTTTGAAAATGTTGATAATTGTGAACGTCCCCTAAGTCAGGATCCACTAGGTCAGGCTCCGAAGGAAAACAGATTTTATATATGTTGTACAACTGATTTTCTAAGACACCAAAAGCATATTTGAAAACAAAACAAAACTGGAAGAAGTTAATTAGATAATGGTTTTTGAATGGGGGAAAAGAGGTGGTTATGCCCCTTTTCCCCAGTTTTTAAATATTCAAAAATCTCATTAACCGCTTTTCGTCAAATATGCTTTTCCGGAGACTGACTGTAAATTGTTTTGCCAAAGGACACATGTGGAATAGACATTGTGGCATTTGAATCTTCGATCGAGTGCCTAAATCACTACCTTTCAACCTCCTTCACTCCATAGAACCTTTTTATCCTGTACATTACACACTTGTAATGTTGGGTAGAAAAAAATGAGACACAAGTGGAATGATCATTGTGGGATTTGAACCCTCGACCTCCAGATTAATACTGTCACATAAATTTTATGAATCTTTTAAGTTGAATTGTGTGTATAGCTCAGTATTAGTTTAAACATTCAACATTTCTTCACCAACTAACGACTGTTTAAGTAAAACTATTCTACTCCTTACATCCCTAATAAATTTCTGGCATCAAGTTAAAGGATTTATCGTGTTACGACGTAAAATTAACGTCGTTAATCATAAGTTTTATGAAACGTTGTTGTTAATCTGTGAAAAATGTTATCAAAAGTTGATAAATTATAGTATTCGTTTAAATGACAAATTAAGTTTCAATTTAGTGGTTGGTTTTCCAAAAAATGTTTGTGTTTGTATATCTTTCTTCAAAATTTCTAAGCCTTTACCACGCTCTTTCCGCAAATTGCTCTGATAATTTCAATTGTATTGATTGATCCCAAGGCCATTTGTTCCCTTTAAGGCAACCATACATCAATAGGGACTTCAGAGTATCATTCATTTCAATTTCATGCTGTATCATTTATATTGCTAGGAGCTGTTTGTGAAACAGTTGTAGTTTAACTGAAGTCACAAGTTTGATTCGCACGCTGCCTATAATCTCCCCCATGTTCTTAGAAAATTTATTAATTTAAAGTTAATTTAAAATAACATTATTTTTCTTCGTTTACAAATAATACAGAGCCAAGATAAGAGTAGCGAGGCAATTCCATACCAAGCAAGTTGGCGAAAAAAAGGTGTGTAGGTATAAAGGAGTAATTTATAACAGTAATGGATATACAGTAAATTATACAAAATATTATTTAAGGTTTATTTGACTAACAAATTTTGAGGGTATTTAATATTTGAGAGATATAATAATTACTATTTGGTGTGCTATTTAACAAAGTATGATTTGTTAAAAATGACCATGAGTGTGTTTCAATTTAAATGCTATTATTTTTAACTAGCAAATGAAGCTCTTTGTGTGTATGTAGAGCCTGTTTTACACTAAGCAAATTTATTTACGCGAATTGAAAGCGTCTGTTCATGTGCATTCACATTTCTATCGGAGTTTTTCGCTTCAGCAAATCAATAGCTCAGGAAGTCAACCAACACTTACAATTCGCGTCAATAAATTCACCTAGTGTAAAACCGGCTTATATGTAACTAAATGAAGGGGAGAGAAGGCATCTTTATGCTTATTTGCAGTTTCAAGGAGTTTAGGACCTCACTATGAGGTTGTTGAACCTAAAATATTAATTTGGTGATCCAAACATTTGGATTGCCAGTCCTTAATATTGGTGTGTATAAGCACCACATTGGCTGATGTTAAACCATAAAATTTCTTCCTATGAACCCTACATTATCCCTGGATGAGGTTGCTCATTCAGACCACCTGTCAATCTTGCTGGACTCCCATGTTGGCAGATATCTGGAGCTGTTACTGCTTATCCTATGGAGCTGAAAGTAGGCGAGACTTTTTTTATTCCTTGTCTCGCGTATTTACTTTTTTAAAGATCGTCGGAGGAGGGCGGAATGAAAATAAAAATAAAATTTTGTTTTCTTATTTAGCAAATAGTCTTGCAAAAAACTTCAAGACAGAGGAGATAAAATGGGATGGTTAAATGCTTCAAATTTATATAATTAGGAAGAAATTTACATATATTATCATTGGAGATTTGAAGGTTGCGGAGGACGTAATGAAAATAAAGAAACTTTTTTTTTTAAATTTCCACTTTTTCATGGAGGTGGGTTCGCTAATTGGCCAAAAAAAAAATTATTTTTATTCAAAATCATCATTATTTGCAGTCGCCGGGTTTTGCTATAACAAGGTATAAAAGAAGTTTCACCTAATGAGTAAAATTTTAAAGTTAATAGACAATGTCACTCCACCTGAAAGTAATGATAGAATGATGTGATGTGATTTGGAATGAAGGTAATCTGCTTTCAAAATGAAACTTAAAAGTCACCTTTTCTGCTTCATTTATGTTTTCCTTCTGTCTTTTTCTTTTTTTTTTCTGTTTTCTACTTTTTCCCATTGTATACTTTCAACCTTTGATTTTTTTTTCCTGAGCACTCCCTCAAATTGGTGCATGGAGACTTTGTAAAATGCGCCTTATAAGTCAAAGTTTGGATTGGAAGTCAAAGTTTGGATTGGGAGCTGAATTAGGTGATGATTAGATAATTTTATAATCTATCTCTCTCCACCCAGGAGAATAATTGTGTACCTGATAGTATATGTGTGATTGCACTAAATTGGTCTGGAATTTGCCAATGAATTACTATAATTAGAAAATAACATTCTTTTTACCTAGGAGAAAAGAAATTGATAATATGTGTGGAAATGGCTAATTATCTTATGATTATGGAAAAAAATATATATATTTTTTACCCAAGCCCAGTTATATTTAGAAACTAGAGCAGTTACTCCGTATATTTCATTGCTCTGCCCTGTGCCTAAACACCAACAGTACACAGGATAGCTACCTGTAGGGTAGGTGAAAGTCTGTCCTGAATCGAATCGAAGAGGCATCGAATAATACAGAGAGAATGAAAATCATGTTTAATAATCCAATCAGGTCCTTTGATTATTATGCAACATTTCCACTATAATTTTATGATCATCCATTCATTAGTTCTTGCATAATCTTGCTAACATGCAGGGTAGACAGTAGTGAACACATAACCTCTTTGGCTGAGGTAATACAGGTCATAAGGACAGCTAGTCAGATTATTTCAATATATGCAGCATAATTCTAGGGTTTTTTTTAAATATGACTTTCCGGTACCTTTTATTTGGTGAAATTGTAACTACAGGGCTAAAATCAATGTTTAAGGTATTAAATTATCAAGGCACATAATTCCTATATGCTTTTGTGCGGTGGTCCGCTATGCCTCTAACCCATAGGGGCCCAGAAGGGTCCAACAGACCCAAGGGCCACAAAGAGGCCTGAAGTACTGATCGTCATAGTAACACAAACTTACTACAGTAATCTAAAAACCATATCTAATTTTTTGATATGGTAAATTTATAATCCAGTCATGGTTCCTCATCAACCCAGGGTCCATCCACCTACTGTAACAAACCTTCTTGTAATCAGTTTCTGTTTCGATTAAAATGTTTAGACATCGTCAATTAAGCAATGCATGGAACATTAAATATGGACCTGGGATTAACGATATGCTGTATCATTCTTTATCATCAGCTGGTTTAATACAGACTATTTATGTCTATTTGTTGCCAACACTCAAAAATATCTATACACATTTCCTTCTACTAAAAAGGTACCAACAAAAATGCAAGGACAGTCCTGTAAACAGTTGTTTGAAAAAGAATATTAACCTGCAGTGATCTCTCTTTGAATTGTTAAATTATTCCTTTATTTGGTTAAAATAAATATACAAATCATGGTCCCATGGCTCCATAAAGTTGATTAAATATTTACAACAGATGTCCCAAAATTACATAAAATTTAATGATGGTTTACTTATACTGTAGTTATAGAGAGCATATTGTAGAGACCTCTTATGCACTTTATTATTACTCTCGGTTATTAGATCAGGTACATATGGAACACGTACAGGGTCCCTGGGAAGAATTCCATAATGTTGCAGCTGTAATCAGCGCAAATTTGTGTTTGAATTTTTGTGTTTGATCCTACCAGGTACCCACTTGTACTCCCGGGTACATAGAGAGACAACCATAGTAAAGTTCCTTGCCTAAGGACACAAACAAAATGCACAGCAAGGGATTGAACATCTGACCTACAGGCCGAGAAGCAGAATCACATTCACTGTACCAAAACGCTCCTACTGCTTGGTAATCTTGTTAAAATTTAGAACCTTCTGCTGATCATATTGCTGGGAATGTTAGAAAACATGATGTTATAACATTTTTTCATCGTAATGAAACAACTATTATATTAAAAACCAATAACTTCAAAACAAATTAGGTGTATGCATTCAAAAAATATTTAATATGGATTTTATGGACGTTTGCTCTTACAGTTAAGACCAATTTCTACATTTATTTTTTAGTGAAAATAGCTACAAAATGAACATAGTTTGAATACCAAGGCTCTAAACCCATTCACAGTAACCAAATTAATAAGACAATATTTTTTTCTTGAAATTTTAGTTTCTTGAAAATCTAGAAAGGTATACTACAGTATTACAAATTAGGTGTATGAATTCAAAAAATATTTAATATGGATTTTATGGACGTTTGCTCTTACAGTTAAGACCAATTTCTACAATTATTTTTTAGTGAAAATAGCTACAAAATGAACATAGTTTGAATACCAAGGCTCTAAACCCATTCACAGTAACCAAGTTAATAAGACAATAATTTTTTCTTGAAATTTTAATTTCTTGAAAATCTAGAAAGGTATACTACACTATCTCTATATTTGTTTAATAATAATGTTTCGGAATGAAAATATTGTCATACTGTTATTGTTAGTAAACCATAATGTCTAGGTTCACACTAGAGCCGTACTATCCCGGATCGGGAGCTAACCGTTAGCACCTGTGTGAGAACGCCTGATCGGCTAGTGCTGAATGTTTACCAGGATCTGGTTAACCAGGGTCTGGCTACCGGTTAGCGAGTGCTATCGCTTAGCAGGTTAACCTCATTTATATAATTATGATCATCATTTTCTTGTATGAATACAACAGTGAGCGCGTATGTTTGTAATCTGGATCCTGCTATTCTGTTAGCTGGTGTGTGTGTGTGCACATAGCCAATATATCTTTGATTAACTGTATGATTGAAAATGTTCTCCTGGGTGCAAAGGGAGTGTATGACATTTTATGAATACAGTAATGACTAGCGTATTCAATTATTAGCACCATGACGTGGCCAATTTTAGATAGATATCAGCACTATACAAGAATATGTATGACATGAATATAAATATTTATATTCTTTTTATTGAAGGTTGCATACCTGTACATATTTACCCTATTGAAATTATATTCAGTATAAACATGTTGAAATTATTTAATATTTATGTTCATGTTAAAAAGTCCTGTAACATTATCCCCCAGCACCTTCAAAATTTGATGTACAAATCTTTAATAGCCCCACATTTTGATTACTGTAATGTTGTGTGGGGTAGAACAAATAAAGCTTTAACTAACAAATTACAAGTTCTTCAAAACCGAGCAGCAAAGATTATCCTAAAAAAGACAAGTTACGACTCAAGTTCCCAAGCCTTGCAGGATCTTAAATGGGTAAACCTTGAAACAAACCTCTTCTACAATGAGGCTATTATTATGTTTAAAATATTTCATGATTTAGCACCATCATATCTTAGGAACAGATTTACCTTAAGAAATCCACAATACAATACAAGAACAATGGATGTATTATATACTGAAAAACCTAAAACAGAATATAAAAAAAGAAGTTTAACTTACCATGGTGCTAAGTTATGGAATAATTTAAATGATGAGTATAGAAATTCAGCAAATATTAATAAATTTAAAGAAATCATTAATCTAATCTAACTTCTGATATTAAATTAATCAATTACTGTATGTATATTAAATTAATTAATGTATACCTGTCTCTTATACACATCTAGATGTGTATAAGAGACAGGCTCATTATGATAAAAACATAAAATTTATACTGCATATTACATGTCTTCATTGGAGACGATTCCATGAAGAACCGTAATGCGACAAGCAGTGGTGGCGCCAGCAGGGAGCATTTGACCCTCCGTTGGACAGGCCTGGACCCCCTGTCGTCCGGTGAACGACTAGGTCGAAAAATATTTTAAAAAATAATAATTAGCCTATCCAAATAACATTATTTTGACTGCCAATCCCTAATATTTGAACCAAACTCTGCCAGTGAACCCTAAAAGGGAGTTTTTACTCCAGGCTGTTGACCAAGGCTTCGCTGACCCCCCTGTCGGTGCACGCACAATTGATTGTTTTTCATGACAATCTGCTCTGTTTATTATTGACAAACAGCAGGCATCATTGCATTGCCATGCGCTCACGAAGGGTGGAGGTGGATTCTTTGGCTGACGGCCATACAGCGCAGTGTGCATCCGGCTTTCGATTTTAAGTTGGAGACCAAAACCAGATGCTGCACCAACCCCTCTATCCAATATTGTAGGTAGTTTAAGCAAAACATGTTAATTTTTGTTTGATTGTAGGTTCGCATCGATGGTCAAGTAAAACGACTCTCTGAAGAGGAGTCAACACAGTATTTTAACTCGCGACCAAGATCAAGTCAAATAGGCTCAATAGTTAGCAATCAAAGTCAGCCGATACCCAGTAGACATGTAAGCATTACAATAATATACACATTCTTATTTGCATGGTGTAGATGTTAATAACTTGGGATGTGTAGGTGTTACAAAGTGCTTTACTTTGTGTCTCTTTTTCTCTACTGATAATTTGTTTGGTTACAATATCCCACCGTCATCTTTTTGATATCTGGATTGGAGATTTTCTTGTATGAATACAACAGTGAGCGCGTATGTTTGTAATCTGGATCCTGCTATTCTGTTAGCTGGTGTGTGTGTGCACATAGCCAATATATCTCTGATTAACTGTATGATTGAAAATACTCTCCTGGGTGCAAAGGGAGTGTATGACATTTTATGAATATAGTAATGACTAGCGTATTCAATTATTAGCACCATGACGCGGCCAATTTTAGATAGATACCAGCACTATACAAGAATATGTATGACATGAATATAAATATTTATATTCTTTTTATTGAAGGTTGCATACCTGTACATATTTACCCTATTGAAATTATATTCAGTATAAACATGTTGAAATTATTTAATATTTGTGTTCATGTTATTGAAGGTAACTTATACATCCAATTAATTTTTTACTAGGATATTCAATAATTACCATGATTCTATTCCTATTTTAAATAGATTCCAGCACTATACAAGTTAATATCCATTATCATTGTTAGAATAATTTTATTAACATACATATTTTACGCTATTCAAATTATATGCAATATAAACATGTTGAACATATTTAATATTTATATTCATGTTATTCATTGAGTACCAAGACGGTGCCTATTTTAGATCGATAACAGCACTATGCAAGTTACCATTGTGATTATTATCATAATTATTTTTATTAACGGTGCCTATTATATTAATTATTTTCAACAAAAACAAGGTAAAAAACAAATAGACACAAAGGTGCTTTTCTGGCAAGTGCAATACCGTTATTAATAATATATTTTCTAGACACTCTGTAAATACTTAAGATTAATATACTGTAGTCCTTTTCCTGTATTTTTATATTTTTATGTTTTAACATTGTAACTAACCCATACCCAGAAAATAATTTCATATTGCTTTTATATGACGAATAAAATGACGAATGAATCAGAAGCTAAATAACAGCTCTATACAAGTTACCATTATAATTATTATCTTAACACACACGTTTACCTTATTCAAATTATTTCCAATATAAACATATTGGACATATTGATACAAAGACAAAATGTATTCGATAATGATATTCATGTTATTGAAGATGAGTAACTGCAGTAATTGTTTTGTCTACAGACAGCCGTGTGCGAATCACAAGTTACTTAATGCAAACAGATAACCAATGAAAGCCAGTAATCTCAATGGTTCCTCCCACAAGTGGGTGGGCCTACAATTGTCATGAAACTCCAGCTATTGATTAGTTCTTGCCATCAAGGTACTAATATACAGTATTCCTCTTAATCTAGAAATCAGCATGAAACCATGGAAATACTAAGTAACTTTACGACAAGACACACCAAACTTGTTGATCTTCGAACAGTAATGCTCAGAGCACGGAATTGAATGTCTTTTGTTGTATGTTGCAGACTGTTTAGCTGAGGCAAAAACTGGCGTTTTGAATGTATACAAATCCAACAGGATTTCTTGCAACTGTTCACCCACTACAAGGTAAATAATAAACTATTTAATTCTTTATTTTATTTATTCATTTTCACACTGGCAAAATAGTTACTATGTAATATTTCAATGAAAAAAAGATGTCGTTAATAGGAAGAAGCAAACTTGTAGGGCAATCTGATGATAGCAGTCAATCCCAATTTTTTTTAATTTTTTTTTTAATATTTCATCCACGTTTTACTGTGACCAAAGTCACTATTTACAGGGTTGAGCAACAAGAAAGTACACTTTTAAAAATACATTGCACATTGCACAGTTACAAAGGAGAAAAACCAATAGTGTATATTTTGTAAAATAGTACCATAACCATAATAAAGTATAAATTATCATTGCATGCACATAATAGTCGGATATATTTCAATATATAGTCCAATATATTTCAATGAAAAGAAAGATGTCGTTGATATTAAGAGGCAAACTTGCAAACAATTAAGGCAATCTGATGATAGCAGTCAATCCTGAATTGCACGGTTACGATGGAGAAAAACCAATAGTATATATTTTGTAAATATTACTATAACCATAATAAAGTATAAATTATCATTCAAACTTGCGAACAGTTAAGGCAGTCTGATGATAGCAGTCATTCTTGAATTGTACAGTTATGATGGAGAAAAAATTTGATAGGGTATATTTTGTAAAGTAGAACTGTAACCATAATAAACTATAAATCATCATTACACATAATAGTCCAAAAATTAAATTGGGGAACATTTGGCACAGCGACAAAATGGCAATGACAATCTAGAAATCAGCATGAAACCATGGAAATACTAAGTAACTTTACGACAAGACACACCAAACTTGTTGATCTTCGAACAGTAATGCTCAGAGCACGGAACTGAATGTCTTTTGTTGTATGTTGCAGACTGTTTAGCTGAGGCAAAAACTGGTGTTTTGAATGTATACAAATCCAACAGGATTTCTTGAAACTGTTCACCCACTACAAGGTAAATATTAAACTATTTAATTCTTTATTTTATTTATTCATTTTCACATTGGCAAAATAGATGTAACTATGTAATATTTCAATAAAAAAAAAAAGATGTTTTTTTTTAAATATTTCATCCACGTTTTACTGTGACCAAAGTCACTATTTACAGGGTTGAGCAACAAGAAAGTACACTTTTGAAAATACATTGCACATTGCACAGTTAGGAGGGTGAAAACCCAACCAATAGTGTAGTGTATATTTTGTAAAATAGTACCATAACCATAATAAAGTATAAATTGTCATTGCACATAACAGTCCAATATATTTCAATATATAGTCCAATATATTTCAATGAAAAGAAAGATGTTGTTGATATGAAGAGGCAAACTTGCAAACAGTTAAGGTCTAGTGATAGCAGTCAATCTGAAATTGCACAATTGCGAAGGAGAAAAACTGATAGTGTGTATTTTGTAGAATAGAACCATAACCATAATAAAGTATAAATTATCATTGCACATAGTCCGATGTATTTCAAAACATAGTGCAATATATTTCAATGGAAAGAAATATGTCGCTGATAAGAAGAGGCAAACATGTGAACAATTAAGGCAGTCTGATGATAGCAGTCATTCTCGAATTGTACAGTTACGAGGGAGAAAACCAATAGAGTATATTTTGTAAAATAGAACCATAGCCATAATAAACTATAAATAACCATTACACATAATAGTCCAAAATTTAAATTGGGGAACATTTGGCACAGCAACAAAATGAAAAACCGTGTACAAACATTATTAACCAAAAGCATTTGAAGAAGCTCAAATTAAATTATTTTATTCCTTGTGTGAAAATATGCATAGTAGAATTGTTTCTAATGCCTTGAGGCAAGGCAGTCTACTTTTTTTGTTTAAATTTCAAATTTTTATTCAAGTTTTATTTCAAAATATCATCATTGTTTGCAGCTAAATTGCAAATATAAACATTAATAATGTATAATACACATTTTTCCCCTTGGCAAATGGTAAAATGTACATTAAAGGAATTAAATTTCAAAATTTTGCTATGTTACAGACAATTTGTTGTTATGGTATTGGGGATATATTAGGCCAAATAAAACTAAATTGTGTTGGCCATGCCCGACCAACCCAAAATGTACGAGATTGAGGTTCGGCATTTCAGTTTTTTGGTTTTTTTTGTTTTTTTTTAAATAATTTTTTTTTTCATGAGCTAAAATGGCTGGAATAAGGCTACCTTGCTGGATGGTATGTTTATTTTATTTTTTTTTATTTCAACCATCTTTAAAGAGGGTAACCCTTCCAGTTTAGCCCAGTAGGTTAACTGATATTCAGGGGCCCTCTTTAATAAAATCAAAAAACAGTACAAACAACATCATTACAACATAATAATAATAATAACAATAATAATAATAATAATAATAATAATAACATACAATCCTCATAACAACTCTTAAAAGTATTAATTGACTTGCATAAAGAAAATTCAAAATAGAAGTTTAATTTAAGCCTAATATAATATAATGTAATATAATATAGTATAATATAGAATAAAAATCAAAAAAATGTAATGCGACAGTGTTATGCAGCAATCGTTTTGCTTTTAAGTATAGATTAAAAAATAGTCTTTGTTGTATTCTTGTGTATTTTCTACTTTTTAGGCATAAACACATTTTTGAAAAAAAAAATAAAACTTTTGCTACTGACCTACCCATTTTTGGATTTTCCTAAAACATGGCCAACACAAGATTTTTGTTTTCTTTGGCCTTCTACAATGTTCGAAATAATATTTTGACTCTACATATTTTAAAGGTATATGATAAAATATGATGTTAGTTAGCATAAATTAAATTATACACATAAGCTGTTTATAAAGTGAGCTTTAACATTACTGCTGATTTATGATACTGGAGAGAGACATTGTGTTTCACTTGTACAGTACCATAATTACTTTAGTTTATGCATTCATAAAGCAGTGGAATTTTAACAACCACAAACACTTCCCAGTATGCGTTATTTAGCGTCGTAATAAATATACACAATTCTCAAATGACCAATCAGAGAACATAAATATGTGTGAGGCAAGTTTGTATTTTTGTTTTTTGTTTCCCTTCCGATAGCAACTCCAGCATTGCGGTTTCACAAAGTTAACTTTGTGACTGTTGCCAGATGGATTAACATTCAGTAGTTGTAGTTATTATGCTTCTCTAGTAAATTATTTTTAGTTTATCTGGGTATGATTTATATACGGTACAGGTAAAAAAAGAGAAGAAACACCTGACAGATGCATATACTGTATTTATACAAATAAACATCTCCCTTGATTAAATGCAAAGGGAATTTATTATTCTTCGAATAATTGCCCTCCTTAAATTTTATTATGCTTCGATAGTCCATTATTTCAGAAAAAAAAAAGAAGAAAAGCCTGACAGATATTTTGCCATGGAAGTGCCATTTTCTGGGTGTCTAGAGATGCCATATGAGAGTTTTCAAAGGCCTGGTGGTTGTGTCTTTGATGTTGCCCTCTATTTAAAGGAAATTTATTGAGAACCTGTGGGCAATGAAAATAATTGATGTCATGTCCAAATCATTCCAAATGCCACTGAAACGCTACTGGATTCACTCCTGCATTTTGCAACTTAAGCCCGTTTTCCAATAGGCGGTTTTTATTATAACATTGTCAAGAATGAATATCCATGATGTTGACAATTCTTAACTATCAAAAATCAAAACACAAGATAAATTCTGACCAATCAGCAGGGCTGCCAAGAGTGGAAACTGTAACAGGCAAGGGTGGTGTGGGCCCCAGTTACGAGCGCGAAATTTTCTGTTAGAATATGGGAAAGAACTAAACTAATTGCTAATATGTTGCATATTCAACACTGTAATACTATCGGATGATATGTTAATGTTTTAAATTATTATGTGTAATGTGTAAAGACCACAATGGAAAACATTTCTCTACTCTGTTGTTTGTTTCTTACCTTTGGATATATTTTATGTGTGTAGAGACTTATAGAAACATACAAAAGTAACATCAGTTGACTTAAGACTGTAATATACAGTAACTAAATGATCTTATGTGCAGTATAACACATAAAACGTCCACTTTAAGTAAATCTGAAAGATGTGATGACAACATGTCGCTATTAATTGAATTCCAACATGAGGTGTGCATGTCCTTCAGGATTTTGTTCACTATCGTTAATTAAAGTTGTCATTCTGTATTTGTATGACCCCAATTTTTTTTATATTTATTTGTCAAGAATAGACAGAGAAATGTTTAATAGTCACTGTTGATGTTAAATTTCAAATTACGATGGGTGGTAAATTATTGATTTCATTTTATACAAATTGGTCATCAAGTTTTTAACTCCAGATAGATGGGATAGTTGGTGCACATTTTTGATGTTAAAAACATGTAAGAAAAAAAAATGTACATGTATAGCCTAAAGAGGTTTACTCTCTATTGATGAACTGATATTTAAAAAAAATAATGCTTTGTCAAAGAGTATATGCCAAGTCAGTCAAGAAAAACACTCATTGCCTTGACTTGATGGGGACAGATGTGACAAAAAGACGTCACTTATCAGATATCTGACTATTGGTAAAAGCAATGTATTCTCTTCTGGGATTTATCACAAAATGTTTTTTCAACTTAGATATTGGTGCATCAGTTAACAGTATTCATTATGTAAGCCAATAATTCCTAACCTGGCCTTTCAGAGTTTTGATGTATTTCCTGGCATGTTTTAAAACACACTTTATTTTATTTTATTTTTTTTTAACAGTTTTTTTTAACTAAGGAAATAATTATAAAAAATAATTATATGATTTAAATATCATTTGAGGTAAATTTTATCAAAGTAATACTATGAGCATTTGGTTTGTGCTGCCAACCAAGTATATGTGGTAATCACAGAACTAATCTTCTGGGGTACTGCGCAAAGATCTGAAATCGTTACTTAAAACAAGGAAGTTTATTACCAATACAAAATATGTGAAAGTCTCCTAAAGAACTTGAAAGAAAAATTAAGAAGACAATAACTGAAACCTTTCTTAATGTTTTGCTGTAATAACTTTAGAATTCCGTATAGGAATTTAGAATACAACTTTGATTGCCTTACCACCTTGTGAAAATCTTAAGCTACTTTTGTAATTGAAGTTTCTCAGGACCTATAGTGTGTACTTTTTAGAATTCCAGATACTTTTTTAAACACCTAAAATCTAAAACTCGGTACAAAATGACAAAAAAGTGATAAGGGAACAGCGAAAATTTGTTTGATTAAAATTAAACTACAGTTACGTGTAAGCCCTAAGAAAATGGAGAAATGCAAAACTTTCAGAAAGATATGCCAGTAGTTTTAAATGGATATAACATAAGATTATCCTTAATATTTTTGTCCAGTTTAGGTGATTTTTTTTCTTATATTAACACTTGCAATACATGGTGTTTAACAAGACTTGGCAGTAAAAAAGGATTATTAGTTTGCATCAACTCTAGCTGCTCTATTGCAATTCTTTTCAATTTGCATTGCTGTCTCTTCTTACCTTTATTACCTGCCTTCTCCTATTAGTTCATCTACTTCCATCCTTACATTAAAATATATCTCTTTGACATCTAGCCTTAACTAACACTGCGCCTTTGATCATTTTATTTGAAATTGGCGGAATACAAATTTATTTTTTTATTGTGCTGCTAGAAATCATTCTAACAATTTTTCGTAACATTAACAATGATCAAAGAAAGGAATGACGATACAAAATTTTTATTATCTAACAAAAAGTATTCTTTAAGGAATTTCTACAGCATACAAATTACTTGAAAATTGCCTTGTACTGCAGAGAGACAGACAGTCATATAGCATGAATTAATATTAGCCAATATATCTATGTTCTTGAATACTCAGTGATGATAGTATATGTCTCATGTGTGATATCATATAATTGTATTTATATAGGATTTATGTTGCACACATATCAATTTCTGAAAGTCAAGGCG